ATGTGATTGGACACACAAGGAATTTGTCTCTGGTACATACAGTATACATACAAACAACAAAGTGATAAATCATGAATAAGATACAATCATAAATCCTAAGATGCAAACAACAAAATGATGAATCATAAGATACCAATGGAAGAAGGCAATAGGAAAGATGAGAAGGATAATAGCAATACAGCTCGACTACATGAGTAAATATCTTTTGGCATAAGGCAGTGCTGTGGGAATTAGGTGTTTAGCAGAGTGATGGCATGGAGGGAAAAACTGTCTTTGTGGCTAGTTGTTTTGGCATGCAGTGCCCTATAAAGGCATCCTGGGGGGAGGAGAATAGGAATAGGAAAAGAATAACAGAAGAATAAAAGTTACAGAGTGTAATTCCCAGCTTTTCTAAATCTCCAGGCATTGTTCTTGAGATGAAAAATTAGCTCTCCTAAAATGGAAAATTATGGAAGGTAAGAAAGAAAATGGGAAAACCTGCTCAAAAAGTAAGAGAGTGAAAGGAAAAAAGAACTGTGGTATTTTGCTTTACTTGTCCGTTCCAAAAGATCCAGGTGGGATATCAGATGTCACTTTTCCCAAAGTATGAGCAGTGACAATGCCGGCTGTATGCCAATGTTAGACCTTTGTCTTGAAGACACCCCTAGCTGAGCCTTTGTCTTTTGGAAACCACTAAAGTTATCTCTCTGCTTAAGAAAAGAAAAAGTAAAGCCATTGGGAGTATGTAATACTAACTAGATTATTTACATATATTGACTGCATCCACCACATACCAGACTGAGTCAAACTTATTATACTGTATATTGAAACTGTAATTGAAAGAGAAGACAAAATAGTGTACCAAGCTATTCATCAGTAGCATTTCTGGAGACATTCAGTCTGACATTTTCCCCACTGGAATCTCCCTTTTAACATTGTTGACTCATACATACACCCAGGATGTCCCATGAGGAAAATGGCACATTGCCTTCATAGATGTGGTGGCAGTATTCAGCTCAATACCCAGAAACAAGCTTTGGGAGAAAGTCTCAGCCTCTTCCATTGGCTGATACCTTCTTGTGAAGAACCATACAGTGATGGTGCATGGTGACTTTGACAGATATCCTTTATTCACCATCTCTTTTATTCAGAAGAGGATGAAACAAGATAGTCACAACACAAGTACAAAATTGGCAGAACTGGAATCACGTTGTTGCAATGCTGTTATTGTCATTTGCTCCCTTTCCCTCAGTTCCCTGACCTTGTCCTTCCCAAATGTATTTTTCTTTTTCTTTAAAATCTGAGCCCTGCACAGCTGCAAAGGAAGCTTTCACAGTCTGAATCCTTCCAGGAACGTCAGGCTCAAGAACATTTTCTTGCCAGGATAGCATGAACAATAGCAGTAGTACTTAGACTTATACAACGGAAATTCAGAAATAAACCTCCATTTGGTTATCAATGACAGACCCGCGCAGATACAGAACTTTTATTATACACATTCAAAAACTGCAACATTACATTACTTTTCAACATAATCGCCATTCAAATTGAGGCAGTTGTCATAACATCTTACAAGGTTTGAAATTCCTCAGTAGTAGTCACTCGGCACCAAATCTGGGCTATAGGGGGTGTGTGTGTGTGTGTGTGTGTGTGTGTGTGTGTGATCAAAAACATCTCAACGGAACTGCTTCAAAAGTTCTTGGGTGCATCTAGCGGTGTGCGGGTGAGCATTATCGTGAACCAACACCACACCGGAAGTGTTGGTTCACGATAATAGAAAATCCCGCCAAATGTGAAGATGTTAAAGGAGTACTGCTAGTGAAGTTCATGGAGCATGGTTTGACCATCAATTTCGTAACTGTGAAATGTTACGAAAACTCAGACGAGCCATCCATAACAAGCATCGGGGCATGCTGAACTACAGCACTCTCTGCATGGTTTACAGAGTCAGCATCTTGCCCCCAACAATCTGGGTCCTCATTTTACCTCATCCTTTTCCATCGGAAGGGTGGAAAGCTGAGTCAACCTTGAGCTGGTAGGATCTAATGCCAGGGTGTGGGCAGAGTTTCCCTGCGATACTGCACTCTAACCACTGCCCCACCATACTCTTAAAGGATAGTTCACACTCTCTAAAAGAAATTTATGGAGGAAAGGGTGTTCCCATGTGAAAGCTTTTTGTATTAGCATAGAATTAAATGTGCTTCAGTGTCTGGCCTGCATGATCTCACAGGGTAATCCTGCTCATGAAAAAATTACCCCTTTCCCTACTTTGTTCAGAGTAATGGGCACAGAATTACAGGCTTGAGGGTTTATGATAAACCAGTGTTTCTCAACCTTGACAATTTTAAGGCATGTGGACTTCAATTCCCAGAATTCCACAGCCAGCAATGCTGGCTGTGGAATTCTGGGAGTTGAAGTCCACATGCCTTAAAATTGTCAAGGTTGAGAAACACTGTGATAAACGGATCCATTAGCATCTTCTATTCATACATCAAGTGGATGCTGTTATCACATATAAACATGACAGGTTTTATATGTTTTTAATGCCTTTCCTAAATAGCAAGAAGATTACATGAAAGAAAACTTAATTTGGGAACTTGTTGTAAAGCATAACTTCATTGTTACTGAGTGAATGAAATGTAAGTCAGTGTCTTGGACCACTTTTTAAAATTTAAACTGAAATAACAGAATGAGACAAAATGTAAGGCTTTTCCTCACAGTTGTCAAAGTGCTTTTTTCCCAAACCTTGAGGCAGCAGAAAAGATTGGTTCAGTAATTGGATTGTATTATTGCAATATGCTCTACAAGATCATCAAGAAGCTTCAGTTAAGGCTCCAGATCAATGCTAGCAAAATAGAGTGGTTTGAGGGTATTTGGTTTCCCAGGAACTGATTATTTTCATCTTTGAACTGTGATAATGTTGTATTTCTTCTGATAGAACATGGTAGGGAACCTTTGCACAGATTTCAAACCAAAATGGTGAGAAAATTTGCAAATATAACAAACGCTTACTGAACCAATAGCTTGGAGATTTACATTGTTTAAATAGGCAAGGCAGTGAATTTATGAATGCTAGCCTTTGTTAATCCTGTTTTAGACGCTTTATTACAATGTAATCTATTTTCTGTGTAGGAAGGTCATCCTTCAGAAGACTATGCTAGCTTAATTTTATACAAAACTCTATTTGCTAGAATAAGCTCCTGAGAAATATTCTTCTATAAACATATTTATTGAAAGTCTATTTAGATTTTGCATTGTATCTTAAATTCATCTGCAATTATATGCAGGAAATACATACCTATTGTATAGTCCACGAAGGAAGCAAGACAATGTGGTATATAAGTCTTACTTGAAAGGAACCACAAAGTAGCAGCCAAAAACAATATAACTTGTAACCTGAATTACTCAATTTATCCACACCATTTGCAGGCAATGGAGCATTCAGGGCAAAACAAATATGCCCCAAAGAAACTTCCTTTGCTGTCTATCAGCCTTCCTGTCCCACCTGAATTCAATATTTTTAAACTGTTTAATTAAAGACTTATAACACTGGAAAATCAAAAGAAATTGTATTTATTTACAAGAATGCAACTTGGACACCACCATTACCTATTAAAACATTTGTAAAAATATTGAAATGCTACAACTACAGTCTAGTGGGTTTTTTGTTGGGACGATACCTTTTGGGTGGGATGTATTTCCAAGCATCCTGCGGGTCCATACATTCTACCTACTCACCTTTTCTTGCTAAATTTCATAATCTGGAAGTGGTCTTATGATTTCTGGAGGTTCCCCAAGATTCAGGTATCCAAAATTATTTGTCAGCCTATGTTGAAAAATAATACAATATTAAAGTCCCATTAAATAATTGTGAGAAGCAGTAGTGGCAGCAAATGCATCAATTTTAATTTTTAATACTGATATAGATAAATATAACTCATACGAACAAAAAACAAAACATATTCTCCATTATTTTTTTATTATTTTTAAAAATGGGAAGGGGTCCTGATAGAGAAAAGTGTAAGAAACACTAGCCTAGCACAATGTTCTCCAATCTTGGCCACTTCCAGATGTGTGGTCTTCCATTTTAGACAGCCTGGCCATTGCTTAGAAATGTTGGAAATGAAATCCACATATTTAGAACTTGTCCAGTTTTGGGAAAAGAGCCTGATAAGCATTATTTGGGAGGGGGGGAATCCATGATCAGATTTGCCACATTGTGTATGGGGTTGTGGTTTTTAATCAATTGAAAACAGGTTATCAGTAAGTCAAGCTCTGGCAAGGCAATAGAATATTATTTTTCGTATCAAAATTGATGCCCATTTTCCACTCTGGGCCCTCCTCATAATAAGTCCATGCTGGTAAGAAAACAACTGTGGATTTCTGGGTTCCATACTATCCATGCTGTTTGAGAGCTGAGCTAATTTATCAAATGCACAAACACCCATGCACATCTCTGTACACATTCATAAATAATAATAAACAAATTCATATTCTCTACTGTGCTCCTGTCCATTTGGCTGCTCATCCACAGTGCTAGTTGTAATAATACTAGTAGTAACAGTAATGCTACTTATCATTCCATTTGGAGGAAAGGTGACATATGGATTGCAATCCTATATTTGTTACCTCGTGTATTTAATGAGTAGAAGATTGCTCTGTCTCTATTAAAGCATGCTGCCAGAAACAACTGCAAATTCAATGATGATATATAAAAATCTTACATAGGGTTAATGCATTTATAAACAAGGAGATAACAGTGACCCTCAGTAACAAATCGATAGACCAGATCATCATCTTCAGATGATGATGACATCATGACAGCGTCCATATGTTAGGAGTGAGCTCATCCCAAGAAGCCCAAACATCATGTTATTTTTGTAAAAGAAGAAAATTATCAAGTTGGCTCTGGAACTAATGTTTTGGTTTGTTTGTCTTCTACACTCTTGCATAACAGGATGAAGACATCATTTTGTTATTATTCTGAGTGTATTCCATCAAACAAGATTCAAATGACTTGAGAAGTTATGATTGGGCATATTTATTTCTCTTCTGCCAGCTCAGCTTTCAAAGCAGTTGTTGGTTGGAAGAAAGAGAGGACCGTTTCAACACTTGTCCAACCTCTCCATTTATCAATTTCTCATGGATGAATTCCAGCTGCTGCTTGCTCTCCTTGGGGGCATCTGTTGTTCCATTTTCCTGCTAAAGTGCATTTGGTTTTTGAAGTATTTTCTTCCTTACATATGGAATATTTTGCCTTCATCTTATTTTCGTTCAATGGGAGAATGGGCAGGTAAAGGCACCTTTGCTATTCTTATATGCCAATGTGGAGGGGAAAGATATTAGCTCAGTGCTGGAAAGTCAGTTTTCCATATCATTTATCTCTAAAAAAATTTGAGAAATAGGAACTTGTTTCATTGTTCTGAGACATTGTTCATTTTCTTTTTTACTGCAGAGTATAGAACACTATTTTCCTTTATTTGGAAACTGTTTAAAATGGGCAAGTAATGGCATGGAGAGTTACAAACGGACTATTTGCTTGTGTTATGCAATTCCATAATATTTTTAATACTAAATGTTATGCTTTTCAAGAATGCAATTGCTATTTTGTGTGTATGCGTGTGTATATTTTTATTCCAGTATGATTCTGTAGCTGTCCTCATGTTGTCCATGCAGATAAATTTTCTATTGCCTAGGTGTAGTTCTTTAATGGTGGGATGCATAACAGAATAAGATTGGAATTTTAACCATTAATAATAATTATCTTAGATCACCTGTAAACATATAACTGCCATTCTTGGGAAGAGATGATCATTTTTATTACAGTAGTGGGATTTAGATTGTTTGTTAGAGGGATTGGATGGAGAAGATATAAAAGATTGAGAACCACTGGTTGGTTTTTTTTTAATTTCTCATTTGAACCTGCAAGTATCCTTGGAAGAAAAAACAAACAAACAGCTTATCTTATTAGAGGTTGGTAGGATTGTATCACAACTGTACTAGGCTTATGATTGCTGAACTGCCTCAGGTTTTCTTTTTCCTAATCTCTTACAATTTTCTGCATTGTATGGAACTTTGCTACTCTTGGAAGGAAACAAATATAAGCAATGTAAGCATTGTGAAATTAATTTGCAATCCTAAGTGCTCTCCCCTAGGAACAAGTCTTATTGAAAGCATCACATTCTGATGTTTGGTAATTAAGAAACATTAGAGCATTTATGCAGATATTATTTCCTATGTCTATATAAAATCCCATTAAATTCACCAATATTTATTTTTCAGTGAAAATGAACAGATTTTTTACTTTTAGATATATCATGATTGGATATCTTATTCTTATATTTTCTATAAACAATATTTTCTCTGCATGAATTTAATTATGCACGGAATTTCTATACTACTGTACAGCTCCTAGCTTAGATCTGTTATTATGTCCAAGTGAAGAATTTTCAGTGAATTTTACTGGGTCCATATTTTCCTAAAGCAGGGTCCAAGAAATTAAGTAATAATTTACCTCCTTCTGACTTTTGATATCCAGACTGTTACTATTTTTAGTTAATTTCAAACTCTCTTAAAGTACAGCCTTTTGAGTAATCTCACTTGGTCTTTCCACTTTCCATCAAGAGTAGCCCTGGACTACAATTTAAAGAGATTTTAAACAAGCAACTTGATTGATGCGTATTACAAGCAGTGTTCCAATATCTCAGGGGCTGCCACAAAGAAGAGGGAGTCAAGCTATTTTCCAAAGCACCTGAAGCCAGGACAAGAAGCAATGGGTGGAAACTAAGCAAGGAGAGAAGCAACTAGAACTAAGGAGAAACTTCCTGATAGTTAGAACAATTAACCAGTGGAACAACCTGCCTCCAGAAGTGATGAATACTCCAACACCGGAAGTTTTTAAGAAGAGACTGGACAGCCATTTGTCCGAAATGGTACAGGGTTTTCTGCCTGAGCAGGGGGTTGGACTAGATGACCTCCAAGATCCCTTCCAACTTTACTATTATTATTATTATTATTATAACAAAACCAAATCACCAAATTCCCCAGTTGCTGCTTTCCATGCTATTTCAAAACTAATGTAGTAAAAAACTTTGTTCTAATATAAATTAGCTCAAATGCATTTGCTAGGCCCCTACATGTCTTATGTCTAAAGATGAAAGTGAGAGGAAAATATATACATATTAAGATGTTATAAAAGGAATAAGATAATTAAACATTATATTCTTTTTTTTTTTAGTGGTCACTGGAGCAGGAGGTGGAATTGGAAGAGCCTACTCATTGGAGGTGGTAAACATATATTTCATGTTTATATTGGGCTCAGATAGTTTAGAATACATTCTAATGTGCTGTGTAAATAGTTTATCATTAATACTGTGCCAAAATTATTCTTCCAACTTCTTGAAATATTTTTTTTCCTTTCTGAAGAGGTGTCAGGTTTTTGTTTTAGTTTTACTTCATTGCTGAAATACTAATGCTATAGTTATAAGGGGGTAGCAGCTGCTGCTGCTGCTACAGTAATGGTATTTGGGGTTGTATATCATTCCACCAATCTGTTTAGCACTCTGGTACATGCCCGTGCATGTACCTGAGTGGTAGAAAAAAAACAAATGCCCCTTTTCTTCAGATTTAATTGACATCTGAGAACCAGAGAGGCTACAGATGACTGGCAGGATGGTGGGTGGCAGAGTGAAAGATTTGCCATTCACCCACACTGCTAAAGGATAACATAAACTAACCCTGCCCCTATCTGTGAGAATTCATCTAAATTTCTACTTGCATTGGATTCTTTTCCAACGGCTAATTTCTTTTCCATCAAGTTGCATAAGAGGTAAAAGGTAAAGGTTTCCCTGTCCAATCCTGTCTGACTCTAGAGCAGTGTTTCTCAACCTTGACAATTTTAAGGCATGTGGACTTTAACTCCCAGAATTCCACAGCCATTGCTGGCTGTGGAATTCTGGGAGTTGAAGTCCACATGCCTTAAAATTGTCAAGGTTGAGAAACACTGCTCTAGAGCACAGTGCTCACCTCCATTTCTTGGCTGAGGGAGCCAGCATGATCTGAAGACATTTTTTGTGGTGAAGTGGCCAGCATGGCTATATGCCAAAGGCTCATGAAACACTGTTACCTTCCCACCAAAGTGGTACCTATTAATCTACTCGCATTTGCATGCTTTCAAACTGCTAGGTGGAGAGGAGCTGGGGCAGGAATGGAAGCTCACCCTATTGTGCAGCGCCCGTGTCTTCAACCTCTGAGCCATCATGTCCCCTGTTGTGTAGGAACAGGAATACAGTATATATATGCTATTTATCTTTACTTCAATAAAAGGGCAATCATTGCCTACAATAATTATCTAGGTTTAGAATAACTTGATACAAGCAGACCGTGTTTTGCATGATAAAGTTTTCTATGGACATTACTAAGCATGCCTTCAAATCTAGCTATCCAGGAAGTGAATTGAGCTCTCTGCCAGTAAGTTGATAGTATCATCAGATGCTTTCCATGCCATCAGATTCCAGGAGGTAAGATGAAAGCCACCTGTTTGCACAGAATTTTGCCATTCCAGCTGAAGGAAGCTGGGATCTATATGTGATGAAGCACGGCAAACAACAAACCAGTGAAAACCAGTGAAAATATGCTTCTTGTGTAGATCTAACATTAGTTTTATGACACCATATTTTTAAACCAGGAAAGAAAATAGCTTTACAAAATTTAAAAGGTTAAAAAGCAAATTATTTTGGGTAGTCACCCAATAATATGTATAGTCTTGGATATAAGGAATGGTTGCCATATAAGGAACAGTTGCTAGAATTGGGAATGCCTAGTTTAATGAAGAGGAGGACTAGGGGGGACATGATAGCAGTGTTCCAATATCTCAGGGTTTGCCACAAAGAAGAGGGAGTCAAGCTATTCTCCAAAGTATCTTAAGGCAGGACAAGAAACAACAGATGGAAACTAACCAAAGAGAGAAGCAACCTAGAACTAAGGAGAAATTGCCTGACAGAACAATTAATCAGTGGAACAACCTGCTTCCTGAACCTGTGAATGCTCCAACCCTGGAAGTTTTTAAGAAGAGACAGGACAGCCATTTGTCTGAAATGGTATAGAGTTTCCTGCCTGAGCAAGGGGTTGGACTACATGACCTCCAAGCTCCCTTCCAACTTTATTATTTTTATATTCTAGTTTACAGAGAAGAGAATTTTGAGATCATTTTTGTAACACAATCATACAAAGATTGATTAATTGATTATATGCAGAGATATTTTTGACTTTTAGAAACCACATTAATTTTCTCCATGAAATCATATAAAAAGAATGTATTGTTAGAATTAGAATAACATTTAGAATTAGAATAACAGAGTTGGAAGGGATCTTGTAGGTCATCTAATCCAACACCCCCCCACGCCGGCCAAGCAAGAGACCTTACACCATTTTTGACAGATGGCAGTCCAGTCTCTTCTTGAAAGCTTCCAGTGATGAAACTCCCACAACATCTGGAGGCAAACTGTTCCATTGGTTGATTGTTCTCACTGTCAGAAAACTTATCCTTATTTCTAGATTGAATCTCTCCTTGATCAGTTTTCATCTGATATTCCTTGTCTGGCTTTCAGGTGCTTTGGAAAATAGGTTGACCCCGCTCCTCTCTGTGAAAGCCCCTCAAATATTGGAACACTGCTATCTTGTCTCCCCTGGTCCTTCTCTTCACTAGACTAGCCATGCCCAGTTCCTGTAACCATTCTTCATTAAATTTTACACAGTAAATATATAAAGACACACCCACAACCTCCCATGCTCATTCTTCTTAATGGTAGTATTGGATTTACAGCATTTAAATAAAGTACACATTTTCACATAGGAGGTGGTCCATTAATTCAGCATAAAATTTTAAATATTGCTGAACTTTGTTTTTCAGCTTGCCAAGCACGGATTAAATGTGGTTCTCATAAGTCGGTCACTCAAAAACTTGGAGAAGGTAGCCTTGGAAATTGGTTAGTATCTAACAAGAAGGAGCTTTGCCCAAGGTATCTCATGTTCACATTGTAGCCTCACAGCAGAAGAATTCTTCATTGCAATGAAGCAAAAATGATACAAAACAATGGGGAAGCTTTCAAGTTTAATCAGACTGACTGTTAATTTGGAAGAAGGGAATAGAGGAAAAAAACACTGGTTTAATACTACAGGCAGAAAGCTTTACGTTCTAGGATAATGCATGGGTAGAAATGGCAGACTTAATTCAATTAAATTCAAATGTGCAATTGTGGAATTCGATTTTATTTTTTTTAAATGAACCCATCATGGCTTCCTGTACAAATAATCCTCACATTCACTCGGCAAGTGGGACTAGCAGTTCATTAAATGAATCACTGTGGGTTAAGTGCAACATCATTTGACCACAACTAGCAACTTCCTGCCAACTTCCCTATTGAATTTAATTGATGGAAGCTGGCTGCGAAAGCTGCAAATGGTGATCACACACACACACACACACACACACACACACACACACACACACACACACACACACGACTGTGGGATGCTGTGACCATCATAAATGTGTGCCAGTTGCCTGAATTGTGATTAGGTCACTGCAGGGACCTGGCGACAGCCACAATTTTGAGAACAGGTCATAAATCTTTTTCAGCGCCATTGAACAAATGGACACAAAGTGAGAACGATATATATTATGTTTCAAATGTCATTGTGATCAATAGATCAAAAGAATGCATTATTTTGACCCAAAGCTATTTTTATTGAACTAACATGTCATCCATTAAAGAAATCTTGCAACAGCAGTAGAGGTAATCTTGTCCCATGATTCACTATATCTTCCTCAAGCAAATGCTACTGAATCTAATAGAAAAATTGCTGGCAGACAAAAATTGATTTATTCATGGCACAACATATGATCCCTTTGTGTCTTGCTTACTAAGGATTGTGACCAACATTTAATACTAAAGCTTATATGCTAATTCATCTGTTAACCTCTAAGGTAAACAAAATTTGTGTAGTTTTTACTGAAATAGATATAAATTTTAATAAAAGTTACAATAAATTTTGGAAGCTGCTGTGACTTCCAGCATTGGGTATGAATTAATTGAATGTCTGATACTAAGTCATATAGTAACTGTTTTCCAGTGATTCTGCCATTCTCATAAGCAATAAACTGGCTCCAAATATGTTTAAATGGATGTAATATTCCAGATAAGGTCCCTATTTTGGTGTCCTCATAGATTTAATCTATTTAAACTTAATACAATTATAGGGGGAAATAAATTAATATAAAACCTCCTCCTTCTCCTCCATGCAGAACAAACGACTAAGAGAACTGTGAAAATCATACAAGCTGACTTCACAGAAAATGACATATATGAAAACATTGAAGAAAACCTTCAAGGATTAGAAATTGGGATTTTGGGTAAGTTAACCAAAAATGGAAAAATGAAGTCACCCAAAATTAAGCTGGTTCAAAGGAGACTTTCTTTTTTATGAATTAGTTAAATGTGACCAATTTTTGAACATTAGAACTCTGAGAAGTTTTTTTAAAAATCATCCTTCAGTAGAAGAAACCAGTGACAGGTGAAAATAATTTGATTTTTAACTACTATTTTGGTAGTAGTGGTACTATTTGGGGATACTAATAAAAACCATTTTTTGTCAGTTGCCCTTTTTACCTTTTCCCTATACAGGAGAGTGTTACCTATACAGGAGAATTAGAAGTCTCTGTTCTTCTGACCCAGAGGGTCCAAAATCCCACTGCAACTTGCTAAGACTGAGTCACAGGCAACTTCTTCCCATCCAAAGCCTTACAGCCTCCAGGCATTCAGTCAGCATCTGATGAGTATCACTTGCCCAGCATGGGGTAGAAATATATAATTGGGTATCATCCATACATTAGCTTACTGATGATACCAAATCCCATGTTGGGGAATGACCTCTCCCAGTGGCTTCTTAGAAATTAGAAAGGAGGGGAGGGAGAGAGACTTGTGTCATAAAGTGCCCCTCATAATAGGGGCCCAGGATTGGACCCCCCCCTCCCCCACTAGCACTGACTGCTACCAACCACGGAGAAAGGAGGAGAATTACTGCATAACAGTGTTCTCCACTCCCAGTTCCTGGAGCCAATTCAACAAGATCAATAGTATCAAAAGCCATCACCCTCATCCAGAGCCCTCCAAAAGTTATCCACCTATGCTACCAATGCTGCTTGGTACTACAGCTCAGCCTGAATCATGTCTGAAAAGCATCCCAATAAATTACTCAACAAAACATTGTATCCTTTAAATGTACATAGCATTAAATTGTCTTCATCAGACAGACCTGGTTGATTTGACATTAGTGTTATTAGAAAACAGACTTCAACAATCGTGTTTATCTGTGAATGAATTCTGTGTATTCTCTTATCTTCAGAAAAAAGCATCTTCAGTCAGGGTTGGGAACCTATTATTTCATTAAAAACAAAGGCAAGGGCATAAATGGTTTGGTCTCTTTTCTCATTTTTCAGCCGAGAAAAATGGAGCTTTGCCTTTAAAAAAATACCAATACAATCTAGGAGCCAAGGAGCTCTGGAGATCAAAAGAGTGGGACTCTGGGCTGCATGTGATCCAGAGGCTCTAATGGTTCCCCTGTACTTCATGATTCTAATTTGCTTTTTTTTTTCTTTTTTATTAGTTAACAATGTTGGAATGCTACCTAATCGTTTTCCGTGCCATTTTCTTAATATTCCAGACAAAGATGAGGTAAGGATTCTTCTATAATAGTAATAAGATCATGTATTTGTGTTTTCATACAAAATGTAGTATCAGTCACACTACATAGACCAGACCAGAGAATTAACTCTACGGGGATGATAAAATTATACTTTATTGAGATGAGCTATAACACAGAGTATTGTAAGCACAACTGTGCTTTACTACCCCTCGTTCTTATACTCCAGTGTTCAAGGCTGAGTCTCTTGAGCCTCTTCACAAAATTTTTCTTGTTTATCAGGGCTTAAATAATGTTTCAGGTAGTATTTCTATCATGATCATCTCCCATTTTCTCTGGAATACGGTACTAAATTTTGTTGAATAGGTAGCCAATAAACAAGTTTTCTAAATTTGATTGAAGCTTGATTCACATTTGAATTATTTTTTTATGAAGTTTTGTGTCAGGAAGTGCTTGACCTGGCAGGGAGGAAAGTTCAAGTGCAGAGTAAGCCTGGATTTACTATACAACTGCCAAAGGGCTAGGACTGACTCCCCCTGATTTCCTTGGAGCCTTATCTATTTGTTCCCAAGAGAAGACTTCCAGTCTGGGGAGATTCTTGTATTATAGGCAAAACATAATAGTTAGCTTGAACTCTGCATGACATTTGCCTGTTCTTGCCTGACATTTTGACTAGCATCAAACATGCATTTCTGGACACAATTGGATGTTTGAGGAAGGGTAATGGGTTGTTTTGGATCGTAGGCAGTCAAGATGTTTATTTCTGCAGCAAAATATCAATTTCATAGAAAGGAAAAATGTCCGGCTGGGGAAGCTTGACTTGTGCTACAGACAAGCCATCTAGTTAAATAATGTTTGGGTTATCCTGTAGAACAGTGTTTCTCAACCTTGACAATTTTAAGGCATGTGGACTTCAATTCCCAGAATTCCACAGCCAGCATTGCTGGCTGTGGAATTCTGGGAGTTGAAGTCCACATGCCTTAAAATTGTCAAGGTTGAGAAACACTGCTGTAGAAGCAAATTAATCCTCATGAAATAGGAAAGCTCGTGTGGCCCTGGTGGGAACAGATTTTTAAATATCTCATTCTAGAAACTGAGGCCAAACTGAATTTTCTGAGCATCTTGTTTTCTTCAAATCAGCACAACTGCCATGTAATCCATGTGTTATTCTCAACAGGACCTCATTAATTGCAACATCATGTCTGTCACTAAGGTATGTATCACAGACCAGACCAGCTCTTACATTTGCTTGCCAAAAAGTAAGGCATGGCATTTGAACTGAATGCAAAGAAACATAGATATTGACAATGTCTGGCCTTCCCCAAGTTGCTGGGTTGCAACTCTTTGTCATCCATAGAGTGAAAATGGTCCTTACTCAATTCTTCTCCTTCTGTTGTTTCATTAGCATCCCAGGGATTTTCTGCTCCTCCACTTTGCCTGTATGCTGGTTCCCTTCCTCTTTGGATGTTGAAACATATGACATCAGAATGGGTAACCATCTAGGCCAGGCATGTCAAATTTGCAATGTCATGTGACATCGCGTGACATATTGCAACTTTTTCCCCATTGCCAGCAATGGGGTGGGTGCGGTTTCGGTATGACGCATCTGGCCCACGGGCCAGCAGTTTGACATATTTGACCTAGGCTAACCAAAACTGAATATGACTTCTGCATGATAGCAAAACAAAATTTCTAAAGCTAGGCATACCATTTTACTTTCCCATCACATCATACAAGCAAAACAATTTTAGTGGTAAATATGTGAAAGCAGGTATATTAGTATCCTTGCTTATTGTTTAGCTGTAGGCAATGTAGGAAAGTGTAGACTTTCAGACTTTCATTTCTCACTGTGTTCTTTTTATAACAAAATGAGTGCTTTGGGACACCAACAGGCTTAAAACCTGTACCTCACCTCAAAACTCCATACAAAAGGACTGGATTGTTTTTAAACATGTCTCCTTCAATAGAAAAATTGTTTGTCCCTACCTTTAATCGGCAATGTTTTATATCAGTGGTTCTCAACCTGTGGGTCGGGACCCCATTTGGGGTCGAACGACCATTTCATGGGGGTCGCCAAACAATGCAGTCCGCCATTTTTTCCCCCTTTTCCTTAGCTGTGCTACTCCCTTTTATTCTATTGGCTTTTGAAAGCCAATAGAATAGACTCTCTTGAATAGAGTCTAATTCTATTGGCTTTCAAAAGCCAATAGGAATTGTCCAGGCTGTCTCTGCCCTGCTGAGCCCGCCAAAAGTCCCATTCTGCAAACAGTGCTGCACCAGTTGAGTAGTCCTTGACTTACGACCGGTTGAGTAGTCCTCTACTTACGACCGGTTGGGGGTTGCGGCATTAAAAAGGTTAAGAACCACTGTTTTATATAAACATGAGGGTCAATTTTCTTAGCCAGTGGGCACTAATAAGACTGTTCTTGCGTATCTGTGAACAATAGCTTTACTTCAGCAGAAAGATTACTGGCTGGTTTTCCTTCCTTCTAGAAGAATTATAATGCAGCATTTAGTTCTTGACTCTTTTCCTGGCAAAACTAGGGTTTGTTTCTTAGCAATTTGGGACAGCAGCATAACTTGAACTGATGTAATGTTCATTGCAGCTTTAGCTGATCATATAATAGTAAAGGCTTTGTTATCACATTTCCTTTTGAGCAGTCAGGAAAAGCTGCTTAAGTTTTGTGTTTACAAGTTATCTCAAACATCTTTAAAGGATGTCAAATGTTTTTTTTTTCCCTAAACAGAATCTGACAGCTGCTGCTTTGATATTTGTTCAAACCCTTTTGTTGGTACAAACCAACAAAATATGCACAATATTTTGGTTGCTATAAGCATTTCTAAACAGGCCCTTTGATTCTAGATTGGACAAATTGTCAAAAATACCATTCAGCAGAGATAGGGAACTGGACCTTCCCACATTGGCAAGTTTGTTTTTTCCCCACTTAATTGGTTTTTCTTTCTAGTAACAAAAATATGAAAGAAAATCTGAATGTTATAAGTAGACAATAGTTGCATAACAAAAGCGTTATCTGGAAACATTCATGGAAAACTCTGACTATCATTTCTCATTATTTTACTTAAAAAGATGTAAGAGGTTTTTCTTGCTACTTGAATCCATGTTTTTTAGCAAGGGTCTTCAAACTTGGCAACTTTAAGACTTGTAGACTTCAACTCCCAGAATTCCTCAGCCAGCCCTGGCTGGCTGAGGAATTCTGGGAGTTGAAGTCTACAAGTCTTAAAGTTGCCAAGTTTGAAGACCCCTGTTTTTTAGGGTGGAGGGCACATTTGAATTGATGAGAGTACAGGTAGTCCTCAACTTACGACCAGTTGTTTAACGACTAGTCAAAGTTACAATGAATTTCAAAAAGGCTACTTATGGTCTGTCCTAGAAGTTATGACTGCTGTGCACAGCCCAGTCATGTGATTGCATTTTGGGCATTTGACAATCAGTTTGCATTTACCTCCTTCATGGGACCTTCTGACTCAACAATTCTTTGATTGTTTTCAGGAGGTGAAGTACTTTATTTCAAGAGAAAAGGGGGGGGAGTCTCTCTCTCTCACACGCACACACATACACACACAGTCAATATCTAATTTGGGACATCAGTATATACTGTTTAGGGCATTGTGGTGCCTAAATTGCCAATGTTTCTTGAATTGTCTCAAACAAGCTGTGAGGGCTAGTTCTAATTATACTTCTTTTTTTTTAGATGACACGAATCATTTTGAAACAAATGGTGGCAAGGTAAAGCAATTTTCCAGATTATAATTTATTTATTGTTTTCCTCAGGGAAGCTTTTTGATTTTAATGAACTTTGGGCTGATTTTGGTTGGCATAAATTACACCATTTTCCAGAGAATGTCATAATCACAAACCAGATATTAGGCCGGGGGTAGGCAACCTTGGCTCTTTTATGACTCGTGGACTTCAAGTTAAAGTCCATGAGTCATAAAAGAACCAAGGTTGCCTACCCCTGTATTAGGCCATATCACAGGGTCAATGTATGCAGCCCATCCAATAAGATAGAAAGGATGTTCCGTGGCAATTCTCTTCTGTCCATACATTAAGCAACTGCACCTGCTAATTGTTATGTCCCGAGCCTTTGCAAACGGCTCGGGCGTTTGCAGGCAGTCCCGGACAGGTGCAAAGCTGCCCGGGACCAGACAGGCTGTCGCCAGCGCCGTGCGCATGCGCGGGTGCTGGCGCGGGAAAAGTAACCCATTTACCCGGGAGTTGCCTATATAAGAGGCTGCGAGGCGTTTGGGCGAAGCTGAAGCCATCTTCCTGTAAGCTGAACGCTGAATAAAAGAAACTGAGAACTCCAGCTGCTTCTCGTGTCTGTTTTCCCGCCAAGGACGCAACACTGGCGACGAAGGGTGGGATGCCTTGCACTACCTGGAAAGGAAGAAGTGTAAGCTTACCCAAGGAGTCCTGAGCGGCGGAAGAGGAACGGCGTCGACTCGGCAGCTACCCGCCAATCCGGTGCGCATTCGGGGGTAGGCTGGCTGATAGACCCGTCTCCTGAAGATCCGAAGATGGCGAAAATCGGAAGGCTTTCGGAATTCGACGTCTCACATCCAGAGCGGTGGGAGTCCTACGTATCCAGAATGGAGAACTACTTCAAGGCAAACCAAGTGAGGGAAGATAGCTTGAAGGCCGCCACCCTGCTTTGCGTTTGCGGCCAAGACGCCTTCGAAATCGCAGAAAATCTTGCAGCACCTGTTCCAGTAGAGTCTGTAAGCTACGCAGACCTGAAGAAGCTGCTGAAAGAGCACTTCCACCCCAAGGTGTCCGTTATCTCATGGCGCCACACCTTCGAGCAGAGGGATCAACGGTCCGGTGAAACAGCCAAGGAATACATCGCCGCGCTACGGAAGGCCGCCAAGCCCTGCGAGTTCAAGGACCTCGAGGAACGACTGAGGGACCGATTCGTGTGCGGGCTAAGGCATCGAGAGCTACAACAGAGACTTTTTGCCAAGGAAGAATTATCCTTCCAAGACGCCTTAAGGGAAGTCACCGCAGAAGAAGCAGCAGGCGGCGCCATCAAAAACATGCGGCCGATCAGAAACAGTGCAGAGGGTGCGTCCGTGCACCAGGAAGACGTCCGACGAAACTCCGAGGAGGATCCGGACGAGGAAGTCGACCGTCTACACCCCGCGAAGGAAGAGAACCAGAAGGGAAGCTCTTCGGCTCTGCTCAAGTGCATCGGCTGTGGAGGTCGCCACAGGAGAACCGACTGCAAGTTCCGCTCCGCTACCTGCCGGGCATGCGGCAAACAAGGGCATATTGCAGCTGTGTGTCTGAGCCGACGAAAGGCACAACCCCAAGAAGAACGCCTGAAAGGTACCAGATTCCCCAGCCAGAATAGGGTAGGGTTTTGCGCTTCGCGAAGAAGCATCTGTAGAACAGGCACACACAAGCCCATGAAGAAAAAGCTGTCACTCAACGTGAAGCTACAAGGGGTTCCATTATCTATGGAACTAGACACAGGGTCTGCCCTGTCCATCATTTCATTGCATACATTTAGGAAGATTTGTTCCAGTAGTGGGTCTAAGGCCAAGTTAAGGCCTTCTGATATTGTATTAACAGATTTTCAGAACTCAAGAGTGTGTGTTAAGGGGGAGGCCACCCTTAACGTGCAATACAAGAGTTTTGAAGGTCCACTAGACTTATTAGTAGTAGGGGGTGAACGAACGAGTCTCATAGGACTCGATTGGTTTGAGGCCCTGGGGATACACGTCACAGGACTCAACAGCTTACAAACACTCGACCTACAGGAAGTCTGCAAAGAATTTGCAGATGTTTTCAGCCCCCAGCTGGGCACATTCAAAGGACCACCTGTGTCCTTAAAGCTAGACCCCACTGTCACTCCCATTAGGATTAAAGCAAGAAGGGTCCCTTTTGCTTTAAAAAGTAAGATTGACACTGAACTAGACAAACTAATCCAACAGGGAATCCTAGAACCTGTTGATTCCAGCCCGTGGGAGACCCCCATTGTCACGCCTCTAAAGGCAAATGGGGACATTCGCATTTGTGCTGATTACAAATGCACACTCAATAAGGCATTGCAGCAACATGCCTATCCTGTTCCTGTGGTCAGTCACATCCTGGCCTCTCTCAAGGGGGGGCGTGTTTTTGCAAAGCTTGACCTAGCTCAAGCATATCAACAGCTGCCTGTTGATGATGATGCTGCCATAGCTCAGACCATTGTGACCCACAGGGGAGCCTTTAAAGTAAAAAGGCTACAGTTTGGAGTAAATGTCGCTCCTGGGATTTTCCAAAGCGTAATGGAAAACACACTACGAGGTATACCAGGGGTCTGCCCCTACTTTGACGATGTCTTGATTGCAGGAGACTCCACACACATTCTAGCTGAAAGACCTAGGGCTGTCCTGTTAAGATTCAGGGAATCAGGCCTCAAGCTCAGAAAAGACAAATGCAAGATCGGGGTGCCTTCTACTGAATTTCTGGGATTCAAAATTGATGCTGCTGGGATTCATCCTGCTGAATCCAAACTAACTGCTATTTTACAAGCACCCAGGCCAAAGTCTAAGGCCGAACTTCAGGCCTTCCTAGGCCTCCTGAATTTCTACAATTCTTTTCTTCCACATAAAGCTAGTGTAGCTGAGCCTCTTCACAGGCTACTAGACAAACAAGCTGTGTGGCTGTGGTCACAAGCACATGAGGCTTGCTTTAAAGAAGTCAAGGCCTTGCTCACTTCTAACAGTGTTCTTGCACATTTCAACGAGTCTCTTCCTGTGTGCATCGCTTGTGATGCATCCCCCTACGGGGTTGGAGCTGTCCTGAGTCACCTCAGGTCTGATGGAACTCAGGTTCCTATTGCATACTACTCCAGAACACTGTCTTCTGCCGAGCGCAACTACGCTCAGATAGACAGGGAGGCTCTGGCTGTTGTTGCTGGAATTAAAAAATTCCACGATTTTCTATATGGCAGGCATTTCACGGTCTTCACTGACCATAAGCCTCTGCTGGGACTGTTTACCACACGTAAGCAGACTCCCCACATCATTTCCCCTAGAATGCTTAGGTGGTCTATTTTCTTGTCTGCATATGATTTTTCATTACTCCACAAGCCTGGGAAAGAAATGGGCCATGCTGATGGCCTCAGTAGGTTGCCTCTGCCAGTAGTAGAAGCTGACCCCGCGCCAGCTGTCAACATTCTATCAATCCAAGCCTTGCCCGAGCTCCCTCTTAGTGCCAGGGAGGTTACCGCTGAAACGGGTACAGATCACACACTTTCACGTGTCCGCTCCTGGGTCCTGTCCGGGTGGCCTGAGCACTGCCCTAGTCCTGAGTTTCAGAGTTTCTGGTCCAAAAGAAACGAACTGTCCCTTTCTCAGGGTTGTCTGCTTTGGGGAAACAGAGTTGTCATTCCCACCTCAATGAGGACTAGGGTCTTAGAATCCCTCCACGAGGGTCATCCTGGCATTGTCCGTATGAAGGCTCTTGCACGAAGCCACTTGTGGTGGCCTGGTTTAGATAAGGATATTGAAGCTAAGGTACACGCATGCCACCTGTGCCAACGATCTCGCCCAGAGATGCCCCAAGCTCCTGTGCATAGATGGGAGGAAACACAGTCCCCATGGTCTAGGGTGCACATTGACTACGCTGGGCCCTTTCAGGGCCAGTTCTTCTTGGTCCTTGTTGACAGCCATTCAAAATGGCTTGAGGTTGTGCCTGTCTCATCCACCACCACTGCAAAGACTATTCAGGTACTGAGGGGGATTTTTGCTGCACACGGGCTGCCGATGTCATTGTGTCCGACAACGGCCCTCAATTCACCTCCTCCGAATTCCAAGCTTTCTTACAGGCAAACCTGATTCGTCATGCCACGTCTGCGCCTTTTCACCCGTCCACCAACGGTATGGCTGAACGCATGGTGCGCATCGCAAAGGACGCCTTGAAGAGACTCACCTACGGGGACTGGCATCACAGGTTGGCTGACTTTCTCCTTTCTTATCGCACCACACCGTCCACTTCTACAGGGAGAAGTCCAGCTGAACTTCGTTGGGGGCGCCAACTTACTACTAGACTTGACCGGTTGCATCCGGACAGACTGCCTTCATCTACCTCACATCCTAGGGTACCTAGACAACTACTTGTGGGTGCCCCGGTTTGGGCTCGCAATTACGGGCCTGGTCATACATGGGTCCCCGCTTCTGTGTCCAGGATCACAGGTCCTCTCTCCTACGAGGTTGCCCTGGACAACGGTCGTGTCCTGCGTCGGCACATCGACCAACTTCGCTCTAGGCGAGACTTTTCTGCTGAGACTCCTGGGTCTTTTCCAGGGGGGGAGGGGGACCCTTTGGAGCAAAGGGAAGGGCAAGAGCTACTGCCCACCTCCACTGAGGGAGCCACAAACGGCTCGTCCCAAGGTTCTGCAATTGCTCCGAAAAGGAAAGTCATGGAGCTTACCCACACAACAGGCACTCACGCCTACTCCAGCCAGGGAGTCACCCCGGGGGCATACTCACTTTCCACACACATCACACAGCACTCCAGCAACGGAGGATACCCGGGGGCATCCCAACAAATCATTCCCCGCAAGAGAACTGGCACACAATTCCCAAGGTTGGCCTGACCTTACCCCAAATCCTACAGGGGGTCAAACATACACAGAGTTAGTCGAGGAACCAAGTCCCGACTACAACAACCCTAGCACAAATCAGGGAACACCTGAGTTTTGGGAAAGTACAGAAACCCACACGAGCCCGAACACAGAATGGGGTTCAGGGAATGGACAGCCTCCTGACAGGTCTTGGACTGACCTAGGAGGTTCTACAGAGACGCCCAGCAGCGGCTATCACTTCAAGGGGCCTGAGGGTCTACAGCTAGGTAGGTCAACCA